TTGCCACACAACATTGTTCACGCCTGTCGATATCAACTTGCAATAACCTGTGCGTTTTTAGCGGTGTATATGATAAAGTATATGAATGGTGATGCTTTTGCTCTAGCTTAATGATGTATTAAAACAATCTAGAGGTATTACAGAATTAGTAAACCTCTTCAATCGTAATCATTCGCATGATTGGCCGCAACAGATATGAATTCAGTGAATGCTTTATCTTCCTCAAATGTCCATTTATGAAGTTTTATTGGGAATTTCTTTGGAGGAGTCGTTTAATCTTTCTGATAAGAAACTACAAAACAAACAGCAAAAGTGAGAGAGGCAATGTTAGTGCCAGCACAATTAGACAACAACAAAGAAACTCATGGATTTTTACCAGGATTGTGTGCATGCTTGTCCAGGAAATTTGTGTACTATAGTCTATAGGTTTTCTGGAATGCCCAGCATTGAAAAATAATGTTGGCGTACGGGTGGATAGAAATTGCCCAACATTGTCATGAGTTTATTGATAGATGAACAAGAGGTATAAAATAGAAGGAATACATCTCTTATACAGGCTTGCAGAAATACTGTTTAAAGTCAATCTTAAAACAATTGTCCAATTTTAAAGCGGAATTCTGCCCAACTAAACACTGACTGGAGGGATTGCACCCCCCCCCCAGCCTCATAAGCCTATGGATAGAAATTCTCCCAGGCAAAAAAGCATTAAAATAAAATGTTACTGTCACTATGATAATAACTCAAGCCCCCATTATTAACATATTGTTTCATTAAAAATATACAATGTTTTTGTGTAATATACTGTATTTTTAATATGTTTATAAAAACATTTGTACTTTTACACCTTGGCTTTCGACTCTGAAACTGAAAGTTCGGCTTTATGTTGAATTTTTGAAACGAGAAATTCTGTGTCTTTTATTGTTAGGTTTCCCTGGGGGAAATATCTACGAACATATATGCGTATGTTTCAAAATTATCATGGAAAATAGTGTTTATAGTACAATAATTTATTAATTTCCTTCGCGCCATGATGATTATCAGGCGGTCTATTCCCGCCATCGGCGATAGAATATAGCAAAAATACCCCATTTTCAAACCGCGATTACTCGTCGGTTTATTGGAGCAAACTCATGTTGTAAAGTAATAGTAGAAAGAATAAATCTTCCCGAATTCGATATGACGTGTTTTGTTTTAATTTTCCTTTTATTTGCAAACTTCTGCATTATATCAAGGTCATTTTATTGGCGTGTCCACTGACCCGGGCCAAGCATAATTACAATACGTAATTAGCGTAACTAAAAAGCAATTCCTGTACCAAATAAGTCAAAAATAGTTTAATTAGGTTCTTAAATAATATAAATATAAAAACATACCTTCGAAGAAACGAGATATACGAAGCCAAAATCGCAATGTATTTCAACAACTTTTCGCCAAACGTTCGTTGAAAATCGTAATTGTGAATAATAATGAGACGCAATGCATTGTGGGAAGACCCTCATTCCTCCTCTGGATACTATCTAAACTGTCATACAATAAAACAATACATTTATATATATATATAAATAAAATTTTAAAACTTTCATTTATTTTCATAACTTTATTACCAGCATGCACATGAAATGATTTGAACTTTTCTAGAAATCTCTTTCAAGACTATGTCTGCAGCATGCTATTTGAGTAACTGCAATACGGATAGTTGCTTTAAATAAGATTTCAAATTTTCGTACACACTAAAAATTGGACAATCAATCGATCCCCCCCCC